TAACGGTTATTATATTAATAACCAAAACCAATAAAAATACAAAAAAAAATACAGCCATGGTAAAACCATTAAAATCAGTACAATACGCAGCTAAGGTACAAAACATTCCATAGTAGATGACTAGGCTGAGCCTGAGGGAGGGATACAATGTGCCATCAGTCTTGTCCCTTTGTGCCCACAAGAGATCTAACTCCAGCCCACTTTAAATTCTGTTGACTCTTAACTACTGCCAATTTGCTTTGAGTGTTAGTAGTTCAGGTTCTTGTAGAGCGCATTGTACTTCCTGGACATGTGACTTCCTGTGCTTGACACATTAACAGTATTCAACACAACCATCAAACAGGGCCCCGCACCACTCTATCTCCAAACACAATGTCTTTGTGGCCTTTAAAAAGACCAGTAGGATCAGGCTAATCTAATCTCTGGGGAGTAACGTTTCAAAGATGAGTATCATGACAGAAAAGGCACTCCTCCTGGGCACCATCAGATGACATTCCTTTATAGACAGGACCCAGTGTATGCATCTTCTGTCAGATCTATTGGGACAGGTAGATATATCTGGTGAGAAGTGCTTCCATAAATAACCCAGTCCTATGCCATGTAGGGCTTTATAGGTCAATTCCAGCACTCTGAATTGCACCTGTATTGCAACCAATAGCTTGCACAACCGAGGTGTAATGTGTGCTTAACAAGGAGCACACATAATCACTCACACACCAACTGCAGCTTCCAGATGCTCTTCAAGGGCAGCTCTTATGTAGGGAGTATTAGAGTAATCCATTCAGGAGTTGACCTAAGCATTAGTGATCAACAATAGAAATGGTTCAGGAATGGCACAATTGGTGCACAACACAAAGTTGCACAAAAGCTCTCTTGGCTGTGACTTCCACATGCTCCTGGAATGAGTCATGAATCCAGATGGACTCCCAGATTACGCAAAGTGTCTACTTGGGACTGTGACACCCCTTCAAAACAAGGGATGATAAATCCCAGAAATCAGATGGTTCTAAATGATAAAGTCACTTAATCTTGGATAGGATTGAACTGGATCATGCTGTTCGGCATCCAAACCCACATGTATTCTACACATTAAGACAGAAAATTTAATTCAACAGGTGTGGAGATGGATAGCTGGGTATCATCAGCATACTATATTTATTTATATTTATTTTAATATTGTTTCTAGGATACTTTTTGCAACTTGAGTCAGGAAGGCAGAAAGTTGAACATGAAGAACTTGAAGACTTATATTATTATCAGGTAAGGCCAAGTATATTCACAGGTGATCCATGCAACAGATGCGCATGTTAATTCACAACAAAATTTTACCAGTCAATGTTCCAGAAGGGAGGACATAATCAACCTGAGAAAAGAATTAATATTTCTTCAATTCTTCTTCGGAAGCTTCTCCTCATGATCAATGAAAACTATTCTTGCCAAAAAATAACATACAATTGGTCACAGGATTAATTGTTTTCTATGATATATGGAACTTATAAATTCATCCTGGTGCCCAGTGGACATATATCCAAAAACGTCTTCCCAAAAGGAAACTCAGTGGGGAAACTAGCAGGAAGTTAGAAATCCTTAATTACAACATATGAATGAAACCCATAGGAAGGAGTTCTCAGAATGATGTATAAAGGTAGGTAGGTCAGAGTCTTTATTACCCTACACAGCATCTTCTGTGACTAGCAGTAGCCCTCTAGGGTTTGAGGCAAAGAAATCCCACTATTTGCTGAGCCTTTTTATTGGCATTTCCTGGAGTTTAATCTGGGACTTGTTACATATAACACATTTATTTTCCTGTGAATTACAGTTCCTCCTTTAGATAATCACAAGATAATTTGCCTGCTTCTTGTAGCCTGGACTGGTTCCCACATGAATGCTGATCACTTAATAATAACGACATCTAGCAATTATTCTCATGCAGGAATAGACCAGCCTGGGCCTAATGCCATAAAGCATGGGAAAGGAAAGTCTTCCCCTCACTGTCAAAGGTGACATTTTCTTAAGTGAGGGATGTCAAGACAGTTGTGGGAGTGTCCACATTTTTTCACTTTCTTATTCATACATATATTGTGCAATTCACACCCTATTGTTTTTCTATCTATAACAAATGAAATCTTTTTCAATAGTCCATTCACACATTCAGTTGCTAGCTACCATGAACCGCAAAGTGATACACCTGAACTAAGATATTGACTGCATCTTGTTACATGTAAAATTTATTTTCTATAGTCACCCATCTCAAACCAGTGACTCTGAGAAGAAAATAAGATAATAGACTGAAAGTAGAGACTTATACTGATGCACTAATATCTTTATCTCCTCCTGCACCACCACACAGGATCCTTAGAACAACATGGAAAAAATTCAACAGACTGGCATGCAGAACTCTATTTTCACTCTTAAGTAACTTAAGAGTAAATTTTATACTCGCTATATAAGAAGCCACTATTTGAATCTTATATTTAATATTAGTCTGTGTTCTAAACCGTGTACATTTACATACATCCGTAGCCATCACATTTTCTATAGTAATCAATATTATAAAAAAGCAAAGGAAAGGAATAGCAATTGAAAGACATGAGATAAAAGGGAACTATAGCTCAATCTCGTTCATGCCAAGGTCAATTGCTAATGCCACATAACTTTTTACTGTTGCTTCTATCATGTCCATACATACAATAGATCACCTTTTATTCTTTAAAATTGCCAACACTCCCCCTAGATATAGCACTTCTTTTTTCATATATTTTCTTTGTAACCCAGTGCTATTCAATCTCTGTATGAATACTTCAAAGCACTTCTTCTTTTTTAGTCATCCACTTGTGTATTCAGTCCACATTCATTCTTTCATCCCTCATTCATTCTTGACCTCATCTCTTCTAAATTTACACACATTCCGCCCAGCATTCAGTTTAGTAATGCTGAATGTTTCTTCTGAATACCCAACTTCCACTTCTACACAGTAAAGTGATCAAGAGCACATTCCCAGAGACAGACACTTTTCTTCCCTGACAAGCATTCATTCCTCACAACAGATCACATACTTCCACGATCTTACTGCCAGTATTTGCACGTCTTACACAGGGCACACAAATTAATCTACGGTATTCGTTTTAGTTTTACCGTTTATGTATCACTTGCATTTATTCACTCAGTCTTTCTTTGAGACACGATTACCTTGATTTCAATATATTGATTTTCAGGTGTATATTTCTATTCCTCATTGGAACTTTTAAGATGACAATTGATGCAAGTAACTTGAGTTCTCAGCCAAAACTTTTCTTTTGCATATAAAAGTCCTGCTCATTCAGGCCCCTCAGACAGGGTTCGCAATTTGGGAGTCCTCCTGGACCCACAGCTGACTTTTGAACACCACCTATCGGCTGTGACCAGGGGGGCATTTGCCCAGGTTCGCTTGGTGCACCAGTTGCGTCCCTACCTGAACCGGGAGGCTCTCACAACAGTCACTCACGCCCTTGTGACCTCTAGACTGGACTACTGCAAC